TCTCCAATCATTGCTTTGGCGAACCGTTTGTCCTCTTGGTCGAAATTATTGCGTAGCGTGATTTACGTTTGTCGATTCGCGAAGCTTTTACCGCGACGTTCGTATATCGTAGCGTCCGATTACAACTACGCCGAGTTGCTAGTATTGCGTGAACTTCAACGTGCACATTTTTCCGAGAAAATTACAAGATTACAATCGAATAGAACTTGTAGTCGCGCCTTTCAACGCCTTAAGCCATTTTTACAAGATGGAATCGTCAGGGTAGGCGGACGCTTGTCCAACTCGCAGTTGAGTTTCGACCAACGGCACCCTATAGTTTTACCGCATAAAGACCATATCATGAATTTATTAGTTGATTACCATCACAAATTGAATTCTCACGCTGGCCCCGATTTGCTGATGTCAATCTTGCGTCAGAATTATTGGATTCTTGCAGCACGTAATTTAATCCGCAATCGGGTGCACAGATGTATAGCTTGCTTTCGAATACGTCCTAAGCCGTAAGCCTTGTCGAGTAACACAATCCGTAAAGCCCTTTATGCACACCGAGTCTGATTTTGCTGGTCCGTTTAAGGTCACGCTCACTCGCGGGCGTGGTATAAGATCCACAAAAGCTTACGTCTGTATTTTTGTATGTCTGACTACTCGGGCTGTGCATATAGAACTCGTTGGCGATCTAAGCACAGCGGGCTTTATGGGTGCATTTAAAAGATTTCTTTCCCGCCGTGGTCCTGTAAGTAAATTGTATTCGGATAACGGTACGAACTACGTCGGCGCGAAACGTATTTTATCAGAACTACATGAGCTCTTAGCCAGCAAGTATTACAATTCGGAGTTCGCTCACATTCTAGCCGAGAACCGCATCGAGTGGTCTCTGAACGTCCCAGCTGCGAGTCATTTTGGGGGAGATCGGGAGACTAATGTTAAGAGTCTGAAGAGTCATTTATATCGAGTAATAGGAGATCAAATTTTGTCCTTCGAAGAGCTAAGTACTGTGCTCACTCAAATTGAGTGCGTCATGAATAGTCGCCCACTTTGTCGTACATTCATTTTTATTCATTCATTCACGTTAACAGGCGGCACGTTCTGTGGCGTTGGCGGAAACGGCACACTCATGTTACTATATAAATTGTCCTTCCGATCACAACCACGCGAATATTGCCCACTACTGCATTAACATCACATAGACCACTTCGGTCATCTTGATCACGTCGGGGTCACCAGTTTATGAGCTGACTCCATATGGGTGCCTACTGGTGACCATAATGAAAGATGAAATCTTTTACTAATATATTTATTATAGCGGAACGTGCCATACAGTTGGCGGGCAACTAGTGACTGGTTGAAAAAATCTTATTCACTACATAATATAGTTACAATACAACATTGCGAAGTTTACATGTGTGTGCGCAGCACACCTACAACTTAAAATTGCAATTACAATTTCATTGGTGCCGGCGGGGATTGAACCCGGTTAGCTCGCGCACCGTGAAAATTTCAGCAAGCGCTAACCATCTGACTACCACGGCTCCTCTCCTCTCGAGCTAGAGACTTTATTTTATTTATGGTACGATTTTTGACGCATGCCAGCGCTTACTTTTGGTTCTGGCAAAAAGTTGTGGAACGTCTGTGAACGTCAGAATTGTGCAAATGTGGGTCGCAGATATTTTACCTGCACTTCAAAATTTTATTGTGTGAGTATTTTAAACTATTTTTACAGATTTGATGAACCATATTAAATAAAAAATTGTCTCCTATCTTTCTCTCTATGTTTTGATCTCCTAAAACGAGTTTGAGTTGGTAAAATCAAGTCAAACTTAGGGTAGGGTTGTCAATTATTATTTTGATAATAAAACTAGTGAAATTCCGCGGTTTTATATGCGCAAGCGTGAACGTAGTTAGAACATAATATAACCTTTATGTTTTACATAAATATCCTAAAAAACTTATTATTTTAATATGTTACTACCTATAAAATTAACAAGTTTATTGCATTTTTATTTGAGTAATTTTTTATGCAATTTCTTTATCTACGTCTATTTTTAGGAACCTTTATTTATTCTGAATCATACATAACACAATATTACTGATTTACTTACTTAAACGTAGTTTTCTATTTTGCAGTTACAAATATCTTGTGAGGTTGAAAAAGGCAGTAATGAAAAAATAATAAGAAGAATAATAATTGACGTCAGCCACTTCTTTTCATAAAAAATTTCAAATCATGGTCCATTAGGTTGCATTGTCAAATGACCCCTCAGAGCCGCTGGCTCTAACTCCAGCACAATTTTTGAATTTAACGCCTTTGAAGTATTTGCCCGCCGTAGATATGGACGAGAACAAACTTAGCATTTCCGCACGCCATAAATTATTAGACCGGTTGGTGCAATCGTTTTGGAAACAATGGAGGATGGAATACTTGCATACGTTGCAGTCTCGGCAAAAATGGAACACATCAACTGAACTAGCGCTTGCAAATATTCGAAAATTTTTGGTATTCGAATATTTGACTTTTTTTCGGGTATTATTCGAATTATTCGAATAATATTCGAATAGTTAAAGAGACAACAAAAGCTGTTATAATAATCATATTTTTAATTGCCATTACCATATATACCATTATCTCTTACTTAGAGTCTTATTTCTCTGAATCATAACAAAATCATAGTTAAAAATTAAAGAACTGTTTCGAATTTCACTGTTATGGCACTAATGCAGTCCTATAAAAAACTATAAAAAGTTGGTGCTTAACAAGACAACCACAGCACATTTACACTACAGTCTTATAAATCGAGATCTGAGTATTGTCATAATATTTATATAATAACAAAATCATAAAATCAATTACAAATACAACTTGCTTAAAATCTTTTATGTAACTAGAAATAAAAATATTGAATTCTGGTTGCGCGGAAAACCATTCGTATTTATTTATTTGACGGTAGGCTTGCCAAATCGTTTATCCCTTTCCAAACGAAATCATTCATACCCTCCTATCGACACATCGGGGTGGTGGGGTGGGAGGGGAAAGAAGATGATTCTAGAATATTACGCAATCATCGCAACCGGAGGAATAAAAAGGCACGCGCGGCCGACGCGCGCTCTCTTCCCGCCGCGCTCGTCGTTACAACCACACCGCCTCTCTTCCCGCCGCGCTCGTCGTTGGAACCACACCGCTTAAGATAATAGTGTCCACGCGCACCGCTAGTATATCCGCTTTAGCCTGGATGCAGTGGAACTCCAGGAAACCCGCCTCACCTCGTGTGAGAAATAGTCGCGCACCGCACTTTCTCCCGACGTATCACCGGACAAGAAAGGCTGGGGCCCCAGAGAGTCTACCCAGAGTGTCTTCCAGAAGTCGCAACAATATAGTGCCCAAGCTACATAGAAGCAACACCCCGGTGAGTGAACATTCCTAATAGTTCCTGCTTGATATAATTGTGTTTAATAGTTAATCCGCTCCAATTTTATTTTCTCCTAATCAATCAGGATTCCTTTCATAGATTTGGCAAATAATAGTTCATTTTAGGGAAGAGCGAGTGCATTGTATGGGAAACCGCGTGCTATAGTCGCCATTTTATGTAAACGTAGAAGCATTTCGCATATACAGTCCACTTTGGTTAATATCTTGCGTAATATGTTTTAAGGCTCGACCGGGGAATCGGACTTCGGTAGCCTTAGGCTCGTCGCTCCACCAAATTCTAAACTTTTATTTTTGGTTCTTCGTAACGTCACACACGATGCACATTACAAACGTACATATTACTTACTTACAAAACTTAAAAGATTTAAAAGAAAGATTTTCAACTGTGATAGAATACAAATGACTAATTATAAAAAACAATCAAATCATTCTACATTATACAAAAGTAAAATACGTTTTAATCTTATCATTTTACTTTGGCATATTCTTACACTTACACATACAAACGTACCTTCAAGGCAAAAGTTACTCTCACTACTCCTCATCACTGCTTTCTTCCAAGCATGTTTGTCGTCAAGTGTAGGCCTATACTACAATAAAAAAATATCTTCAACATTTTCCTTGTAAGTGGGACCTAAAGACACTTCTAGGGAATCATCTTTTAAAACACATCTTAAATGGTTGCAAATGTACTTTGCTGATGAAAACACCTTTTCACACTCTACACTCGTCGGTGATACACATGAGGAAGTCATATGCTTGGCTCAAATGGACTTGTCTAGGACCTCCTGTGTCAAATATCGCCATCTGCATTCGCACCGACGTTTGTAACTCTTCTCTATCTGATAAATTTGCTGTAGACGTCAAAGGAGTAGCAGAATTAGTGTCATTTATCACTTTTTGTAACTATTCTTAAAAGCTGTTGTTACCTGGTGTAACTCGTTTTGTTGCTGATGCTGGCGTTGCCGCTGCTGAAGTTGAACTAAGGTTATGTCATCTTCGTCATTATTAGAATTTTGTCTTTTAGAAAAGTATCTCTCGTTTATTTCAGTTATTACTTCTGTAATAATGTTATTGCCTGGTGATGGAAAGATAGACGAAGGTGGCTCTGCGTAATATTTGCATGGATTGTGGAGATATATACTGTGCAAATTAAATTTGGTAGGCATCTCTGAGCAATTCTATTTTTCAGAGCTCCGAGTTACCTGTCACTGATAAAACTGTTCGCCTTTTCAAGTTTCGCAACTATAAATTGAAAGGCTGTTTTCGCAGTAAGCAGATTTTCATTTTCTTCGCACAGCATCTCTACTGTTGCGTTTACAATATTCAAAGAAGTGGACAATTTCTGCAGTAAAACCAGCTCACCTAAAAAACGTCGTATCTTTAAAATAGGTTCTTTTAATGCCAAAAATCTTGTGATCATATCTGCTAAACTGCTCCACCTGGTTTCACAGTCTGGTTTTACAGTCTAGGATCAAACTCATTTTATTCTGTTATTCTTGAAGATAAATATCGAGAATCTCTTTTCTGGTGGTTGACTTCCTAAAAAAATTAACTATTTTTCGCACTTTCTCTATTACATTTTTAAATGCACATCCCTGTATAAATATAGGTCTCGGCCTCTGTTCAGATGTTGCTCAACTACAAATTCTCCTCCTTCACTATCACTGTTAGAGTCAGTATCCTCATTTGCTTCCTCTTTGTTACCTACAGATTCATCCTCTTCTTCTTGATCATCTTGATTCTTTTTATATATAGCATCCAGCACGGCACATTGGATACCATGAGCGAAACCTAATTGATGATACGAAGGTACTTGTCGACCTATAGCATACATCACTCTTGCAGACACTGCTACTTCCAAAGACCCCGATAAAATTTCTTTCCTGGATATGGATGATAGACATACTCAAAAACCTCAATAACATCTTTTCCAATCTTCCAAGCTTTACAAATCCTGTTAGTCCAACACCGCGGCGCGCCAGTGTTCCGAACTTTAAAAGTTATATTTTGTGCACATCCATATTCCGAGTTTCGCTTTCGGAAAATGGCTTCAATATTCGAAAATAACAGATTTAATATTCGCATATTTGGAGAAGCTATATTATTCGAATTTTTCGAATATTCGAATGCAAGGCCTAAACTGAACCTTTAACTGTCGGAACTGTGGTTGTGCTCACCAAAGAGAATACGCCGCCTCTCCATTGGCCATTAGGGATTATCGAAGAGGTTTTTCCCGTGTTCCGACGGGGTAATTAGGGTAGCTCGCGTTAGGACCACGGTTGTTTCTTACATGCGTCCTGTTGTACGTTTGTGCCTCTTGCCCCTTCAATAGTTTAAATTAGCTTTCCAGATTAGAAGTTGTAGTCGAAATTTAGGTTTAATCTTAGTGTTAGTTATGTGGTTAGTTTAATCTTAGTGTTAGTTGTTTTAGTTATTTTTGAAGGGGACCCTTCAAGCCGGGGGGGATAGTTGCGCGGAAAACCATTCGTATTTTTATTTTTATTCGAAGGTAGGCTTGCCAAGCATTCCTTTCCTTCACCTATCCTTTCCGTACACACCGGGGTGGTGAGGTGAGAGGGGAAAGAAGATAATTCTAGAATGTCGCGTGATTTGCAACCAATGAGAAGCGCGCCTCTCAACGCATTGATAGGAGGGCCGAAGTAATATAACTAGCTAGCACACGGCCCTCGTGCGCTCTCTTCCCTTTGCGCACCTAGTTGGAACCACACCACCTAGGACAGTCGCGTCCTAGAGAGCTCTTGCCCATGCGCACCGCTAGTTCAACCGCACCACGCCTGGAGCAGTCGCGCTCCAGGAGTAACCGCCTCACCTCACCTGGGGCCCCAGGAGATCCGCCAGATGTCGCACGGCAGCAATAAAGCGTCCAAGCAGCATCGAAGTAACACCCCGGTAAGTGCGCTTCCTTTATTACGACGCCTGCTTGAGTATTTGTGTTTTGTGAGTTAATCTACCCCAATTTCATTTCTTCTAATGTGATCAAGCAGGATTCCTTCATAGACCTTGGCAAGCAATAGGTTTTTTTTTGGAAGAGCGAGTGTATTGTCAGGGGACCACATGCTACAGCCGCCATTTTATTGAAGCAGAAGAAGCCATCCGCGTATACAGTCCATCTAGTATAACATCTCGTGTAGTAGGGTCAAGGCTCGACCGAGGAATAGTGACTCGGCAACCTTAAGGCCCGCCGCCCAACCAACAATCTTAACAACTGTCTAGATAGTGTACTTACAGATATCTCTAAATGGTTAAAAAATCACAATCTCGTCATAAATTACACAAAAACTAAGATAATACAATTTAAGCCGTGTCAAAAATGCCCCCTATCTATAAATTATTCTTACAACGATAGTAAACTAGAATGTGTTGAATCATATACATTATTAGGTATAAAAATAGATTCAGGTATAAATTGGAAAGAACACATAAAGAAAGTATCATCTAAACTTTCCCGTTTTTCGTATGCACTGTACGAACTTAAAAAAGTTACAGATTCAAGAACAGCCACGTGTGCATACTATGCTTATGCCCGTACATGGCTCAAGTACGGTATTTTACTGTGGGGAAACAGCACAGACGTAAATAAATTGTTTATTTTGCAAAAAAATGTATCCGAATAATTACAAACATAGATAGCACTGACAGCTGTAAACCTATTTTATTTCATTAAAAATATTAACAATTACATTTATATATATACTAGAAGTATGCATATTTGTTAAAAAGAATATGCACCTTTTTTCAATATACTCCGCATTTAATTACCAAAATTTACACTTTTATTACTGAATACCAATAAAAACTTAAAAGACACTAATAATTAATCACACTGATTCACTTTATTTCGCTCCGAAACTTCGCTTGCATCGCCAAATTCAATACTACTCCGGTCGCGGCTCTCAGCGGCCTTTATATACGCCTTTTCCACTGAAACATCCAGAATGTTCCAGCAAATACCGGTCCTGATCGACTAAGTTCAGAAAGTTCGAGACTGGACCCTTCTAGAAAGCTTAATTCTTCTGTTCGATACTAGATGGCGCTGTTGGTGGAAAGTTTAAGATTGGCATTTTCTAGGAAGCCCTCCTCGCTCTGTTCCCCGACACTAGATGGCGCTAGTGCCAGGTACCAAACATCAACTTAGGCGCGCAACACCTACCCCTCCTAAGTCATGCTCGTCCCGAGCATTATCGGCCCCATAATAACGCGCCAGTCGATCCACATGGGCGATCTTAGGAGTACCTCTTGCAACTTTCCGAAACGGCTCCGCAACGTCAAGGGCTGTCCTATCCCATGGTGCACCAACATACGCCTCATTTTGTACGTCCTAGTATAAAATTAGCTCCACCTATCACAAAATTACAAACAGTTGAATCAGGACCCCATGGTATGTTTGTAAAAATTTATAATAAAATTCCCAAATGTCTACAAAAAGAAGAATCGTTGTATAAATTTCAAAGAGAGCTTAAAAAATATTTAATTGAAAAAATTTCTATTCGTTGTCAGAGTTTTTCGGTGAAAAATAATAATTGTATATTTTGAATATGTATACCTCTTTAATATCGTAAATATTGCAAATGTTTATTAAACCTAAAAGTAATGTAGTAGTTTAAGTAAATAAAATAAAATTTGTCTTTCCCCCCTATCAGGGCTCATGTTTGGCTCTAATATATCTTACTTAAGAACTATTTATGTAACCACATGAACGCCATAAAATGTTTGAGTTTAGTATTGATAAGCCAACAACGGGCAGGAGCGAAATCGAAATAAAAAGTTTGAAAATTACATTTTTTATAGAATAAAGGTAACGAACGAGCACACAATCCATCTGATGGTAATTGGATGTTGTAGCCCGTAGACATTTACCTCTAATTATCCTCGATTAAGAATCAAAACACAGATTGTCACCGCGTTGTCACCCCTGAAGACTAAGATGGAATGCCTCGTTTCCACTAAAAAAAGAGTCTCCGGAACTCTACATTCACCATACGAAACACAGCAGAATTAAGCCGCTATTTTACGCTGGTATTCTGTGAGAGCGTGGTCATTCCTCGGTCGAGCCAACCCATTCGTGCTACCACAATAACATAGCTGTAGCGTGGCTCACCACGTAACAAAACGTATATTTTTACTTTTAACATAAAATTGGTCTACCCAAACCTTTTTCGGCGATTGAGCATGAAGTGAACATACAGTATTAGTATTGATACGAAATCAGAAAATTGTATCTAAAAACTTTATTGAAAATTTTCAATGATACCTATAGTGGGAACAAAATTACAATTTAATAAAAAAAACTTTATAACAATTTATTCGTAGGTCATTAAGTTACTAATTTCCACCGTATTTGATCGCATCTATTTAATTTGTTACTATACCAAGTACATTTTTAAAAATGACAATATTTCTCTGTTTACCGGTATCAGTAAAATATTGTTACATCTCTAGTAGGTACTGTTGTATTTACACATAAATAATTATTTATTTAATAGTTTCGACTGACTGGTGAAAGGATATAGCACTTTTATTCAAATTCCACATCCGGCTGTTTTTCCAATTCGTAATTATCACACAAATTGGCGTTTTACGTGACGTCGAAAAAACGTGTTGACATTTATAGGTAAACGGGCACCGCCCACTCCCCCGTTCTATTGTGTATATATAATAGTATTAAGGTTGATAAAAAATCATAAACCGCAAGCATTATTTGAGATTTGTTCACAAACAGGGATTTATATTAACAACTGGTCGTTTGGACGTACTAATGTCGTAAAATTTTTAATCTTGCTTATTAGGCAAGCTGTATTGCGCTTTCAACTTCACATTAAAACATAAAAATCTCATATACAAAATATAAAATAAATGTTGATTCCTTGATTTAGACAGATTTTTCACTAACTATTTACAATGGAAAATTTGAAATCACACGTTTTAAAATTCTTTGGCAACAATCGCTACTCTGTGCGATTGTTTAAACACAGATTATTATATGTTTGATATTGGCCCTAACATGTCCGGTCGTGCATTAAGTGTTGCTGCCATATATGCTAGTGCTCATAGTGCTAGATAGGGGCCCTGGACTCAATTGAAAGGCGTGGTAATAAGTTTAATGGTTACACCAATATATTAGAACCAATCTTACAAGTCTCAGCATAGGCGCAAAGTAGTATTTTTACGTGGTAGAGCTATGCTGCAGTTATATGAGTAGTTTAGTTGTGGTACGAATGGGTCGGTTCAACCGGGGAAGGACCACGCTCTCACAGAATATCAGCGTAAAATAATAGGTTAATGCTGCTGTGTTTCGTATGGTGAGTGTAGAGAACCGGAGATCCTCTTTACTGATAACGAAGCATTCCATCTTAGTTCTCACGGGTGACACTGCATCTGCATTTTGATTCGTAATCGAAGATATATGTAGATATCTATGGGCCACAGAAACCACTTACCATCAGGTGGACTGTGTGCTCGTTTGTCACCCTATCCTATAAAAAAACAGCCTTTTGGTTTTCTACAGGAGAGTTCGAAAATTGGATTATTTTGCCAGCAACTGTCTTTCCATCCGATTATAATGTGGATGTCTCCAAGGCAAGAACGAATACGTTAAGCTAATTCAGTATGCTTAGCTGTCTTTGGCTGCATCACCACTTACCATCAGGTGAGAAAGTAGTCATGCGCTGGCTTATAATATTAAAAAAAATAAACAGCGGGAGAGGCAATGTTCAGCAGCGGACTTTTACGGGTGTTCGTAAAAAAAATCCTTCGTTTTTAAAAAACAAACCAAAAGGTAATGATTTATTCCTAAATCAATTATTTAAAAAAATC